AGACTACTGAAAAACATAATTACTCATTATATTGGTGATTACACACTGCTGCACGTCTTTTCCTGACAAATAATTTATCACCTCAATATGTGTGTATCTCAACACCTCAAACCGTACCTCAAACACCTGTGTGTTAGTGAGCGAGTGTATACTCAGCTGATGTGAGTCATTTTGAAGTCTCTACAGCCTGAAGTGATGCAGAACTGCCTCTTGGCCGACGCCTTCAGGCAATGAAACGGAATTCCCTGATAATCTTCATCAATCCTTGTTTTACAATATCATCAAGTTCTTCATTGTTTAGCTATTTAGTGAAATAATTATTAATTTGGCTTTTACATTTGCAACTCTGTCCAGCTGGACTTATTTGATGATGGAAAGACTGTCCGTGACGTTGAGAACTGTCCTACATTACCTATTCCCAACCCGGAGCTTGGGACCCCTCAAAAAGTTGTGACATAACTCTAAATGGGATAGTAGGATGTCATTAGATTGAAGGAAATAAGTCATAAACAAAAGTCTCAAATAACACAACTGCTGGCTCTACATTGAAAGTTAAGGAGCATGAATGAAGAAAAGTCAGGGAATCACCAACGTTAATAAGCTTCATTATCTGGGGGCCATGAATCTCATGCCAATCCATGAAATGAAAAAAATAAATTTGTTGTTTTTTTAAAATCTGTTTTTCCTTACATCTATTTTTTAATAGAGAAGAAGAAGGAAAAATAATTACTCTTTGGCTGAACTGGTCACAACTGGTAGACATATGCAAGCAAGGGGTCGCAAGTAAGACATCACTTCGTTTTTAAAGGGTCACAGGTCAAAAAGGCTGGAAATCACTGCTCTAGGTTCCAGATGGAGTTTCTCCGGAGGCAGTCACACCAGGTGCCTGAATCACCCAAATTTACCCTGAGAAGCTCATGAAGACATGATTCATGATGATTCACCTATCCTGCTTAACTTGTTTTAATGACTGTGTGAAGTTCATGGCACTGTTGAGAACCTCTTAGAAACTTTCTTTTGCTCAGACACCTTCTCAAGTTTCTCTCAGATGTTTCAACTCTCAAGTTCAAGTTGGGAGATGTAATCTCTCCAGCATGTCTGGGTTTGATCCAAGCTTCTGGTAGAGTCACTCTTAAAGGCAAAGTGGTCTTAGGTGAGAGACCAGACATGATGACTCACAAAGATTCCAATGACTGGTGAGAAAAGCTCAGAGTGTGACTCTAGTGTAGCTCACAACTCAGGCCTTGGAGTGGTGGTCTTATCTGAATGCATGGCGGTGGGGGACCCCTGTAGTTTTGCCATGGTGGTTTGAAAAGAGACACAAGACCATTTAATTGTGGGTTCACCACACTTGATTGCTACATGGTGAAGTGCAAGGAGTTGGTCCAATGTGTTCTAGGGACATTACAGGATCAGATATTTAGCTTTGAGGGTCTTAAGGATTTAAGAGTTTAGGTATACATAAAACTCTCCTATAACAGGACAAGAGTGGGTGCATACTTGACAACAGCAGGAATGATGATAAGCAAACTAACTAAACTCAACCATCCAGAGCTGGTATTCCTGTAACTTGTATGCCTTATTCCTAATGTTTCTTCTCCCCAATTCAGACTGATTCACTCTCTTGTACTGTGGTTCTTGGCCACTGTTACATAAGGGAGAAAACCGATAACTCCGGTTAAACCAGCTGCTTCTTTTTACCTAGCAGCGAGGAAGTGAAACGTGTAGATTCACACTGTCCTCCCAAGATCCCACCCCTTCCATGGAGGCACCATAAGCCACCAGTAGACGTTGGACGTCAGTAGACAAGGACACACTCCCTCACAGACTTCCAACAAGTTAACACAGCTGCGTTTAACCACTATGGGGAATTCAAACCTGGATCTCTGAGGTGGTGTCCAAGTGCTCTGCTGCCTTATTCATCATGTTTGTTTTGACAACAAAAAACTCTTATTTCTTCTTATACTGATTATTAAGTATTTTAAAATCTGAAAAACATCAAATGCTAGTGTTACGAAATCATATGTAACCATGTGTGTGCATTTGTTCACAGCAACACCAACACCTGGCAAGAGAACAGGGAACAAGCCTCCATGTTCCTCTTTTCTCTGCCTCCTAAATGTTCAACAGCACAATACAAACACATTCACACACTTTCTGGATAATTCTGTGCCCAAGTTCACAAATAGCTTGCCACTAAAACACGCACATTATCTTTCTCTTTCTGTCTTTCTGGTAGTGTGACTCAGTGTTGAGCAGCCTCGACTCATCACGTTCCCACCCTCTGTCTGTTTGCCTCTGCAGCTTAGGTCACAGCTGTGTGGGCCAAACCAGCCTTGCAGGACTCTTGGCACATACTTTGTCCCAGGTTGTGGGATTTTTCATATATGTAATGGACTCATTTGATACTGCAGCCAATTTTTTCCATTGCTACCTATATATGACAGATTTCTTATTCTTAATTATTTTAATATCCATGTGTGTTGTCCTTCCCATCCCCAAACCTTTCATGTTTTAGGATCTTACAGACTCTTTAAATCTCATTAAATCTGTGCCAGTGTTCTAATTTGTTGAATATGCCTTTAACTGACCACAAAACTGTTGTTTTTAAAGTTACAGCTACAGCTCCCTACTCCTAGTCCATACCCTACAACACATTCTGACATTCTCAATACTGGCTCTTTACAGGTAACCTTTCTGTGATGCTTTTAATTCATCCTTTTAAGTCCATTATAACTACTCTCAATCCAGATGCACTGTTAAATTCATTTAACGACCAGTGCCTATCCATCTTCGACCAAACTGCAAGACCAGACTCAAGACCTTAAAAGACTCTGAAAATGTGAACAATCATGGAAGGTCAAGAAGGCCACAATAATACATAACATCCTTACAAAACCAAATGGCAATCCAGCAGAAAGCAGTTAAGCAATTATTATAGTATTATATTAAACTCCTTATTTTCCCAAATGTATGTGCCTGATTTTCCCACATTTCTGTCTGATTAAATGTTCAAGGAGCATATTGATAGTATATTTGATCATCCAGAAGTCAGGTAAATGCAGTGATTGATCAAATCCCAAACCGGAAAGATGGATGAGTATCATAGCTCTGTTAATGATGGGTTTGAGGGCAACGCGATGACTGCTGGAACCACAAGTTCATAACATTTTTGGTCAAGGAAGCTTGTGTGTTTGTGGGGAAAATGCAGAAGCAAGAGGGCAGAAAGCTTTAACTGTCCTCCTGCTTGATACCAATTAGTACCCAAACGGTTAAACACAGCGGGAAAAAAACATTTCAGACTAATCAAACTACTTGGCTCAAGAGTTGTAGCTTTATCGCTGTTAAGCTTTTGACACCTAGGGAGCATTTTAAGCTTTTCACTGGGATATTATAGTCCTGTCATGCCTGTTCTCGACTTTTCATTTTTTAATCTGTTTCTCTGATGAGATTAAAGTGAATTCAAACCAGCTCTGATTTATTTTTCTCTCTTCCTCTCAGGCTTCCCAAATCTTCAGTCAGCTCTTTGATACAACTGTGATGATGCAACATGCAGAAATGTTGCCAAGGAAACACAAGCCAAGAGGAAATGAACTCTTATTGCAGCTACGCAACTTGACAACACACCCTGACTGACTGATGGGTAAACTGCACCACTGAAAGGATTTATATTCCATGCAATAATGTGATTATCTCTTCAGTAAGGAAATAGTGAAGACTACTACAACGGTCATTTTATATCATAATCAGACCTAATTAACTGAGCTGGATTACTCATTCATCTTTCAAAACACTCTTGTCACATCTTCTATTAAATCTACAAACCTAATTTTGTTTAATTTAAAAAAAAAAAATCATTCCATGTTTACATCCATATTTGCTAGCTTGCTTAAGGTCTTCTTCTTCTCTGCATTTGGTAGCACATTACCACGCTTCTTTGCATGTTATCACCTATCGATAAGCACAACACTGTGAAAGCAGTGGCAGGCATGTGTATCATATTGCATACAAACCTATAAAAGCATGACTTCATAGCACTACTAGTGTTCAAAAACTCCACAGGGAACCTTTAAGTATAGTATTTCACTGTGTCTCCATCTTTTTTTGCGGCAAATAGAGACTGGTAATAATTTGCATTACCTGTATAATTAATTAAATATAACTTTAAAGTTATTTTCAACTAGAACACCACATAACAATACTACTTTCCATAGACAATTACATCTAATATTCTAAGTAACTTCCTGTTCTCATCAGCCAAGAAATAATCAACTAAGCAAATAAGCCCCGCTTTTATAATGTGAGCAGTCAATAAGCTTCTCTGGGTCTCACCACATTTAAACACCCAAGTTGTTTCACTATGTTTTGCTGTTGTTTCTTTCCCACTACTGGAAACTGGCTGAAGGCTTTGTAGAGGAGAATGGGGCTGCTTTTCCCCCCACTGCTCAACAAGTCCATCTTTTGCTCCTCCACTCTTGAGGTTTTTATTTTTTTGTATCATATGGCTGTTTTCTTGTTTGGTTTTTTTTTTAACTGCAGTGGTTTCTGTGGCATCTGGATTTTCTGCAGCTTCAGGCTGTCTGCTTAGTTATTTTCTGATCAAAAGTCATTTAGTGTTTTTCACCCTGAGCGCAATGGAAATAACCAGCTGGTCACAGGCTCCTTCAGATCACCCACAGAGGCATTTAAGCATTTCTTTCCTTACTGAAGAGATTGTTCATTTTGGCAAACAATGATATTAGTGAATCATGTTAGATAGGAAGACAAAGTGACTTTACACATTCATATCTAGATGGGACCCGAATTCACAAATTTGATCAAAACAACGTATTAAATCTTTACAGATAACTTACCCAAGCAATAAAAAAAAAATCAACAAAATTATATTGGGTTTTAAAAAAAATCTGTTAACTAACCACAGTCGTCTTCTATCAGCCAATCAACTCTCTCTATACCCAAATCCTGTTTTCCACACACACAAAGAGCCTTTGATCACTAACCCTTCGTAGGAGACGATTGTAGTCATCTCCTATACGCTGGAGTTCTCGCCCGATTGCCTCTGTCTGCATATCCCTTGCTGCGTTTCGTGGCCGTGAGCTAGAGGGTCTGGGAGAGTGTCCTGAAACAGAGAGGAATGCAGAATTTACTAATACGGTACGCTTTTGCAATGATTAAAAGGTTTAAAATGCATGTTGAACTAATTGTACTGTGATGCTTCATTTATGTGAGGCACAAAATGTAGTCAAACAGGAGTATGCTCCTTTATGTGCAGTTGGGGATTAAACACATAAAAACATTGTTCAGTACCAAGATATTTAAACAATGACTTGTAACATTAACAGAAACCAGAGCGGGACTACACTCTGGATGTATTTACAGAACTGTATCTACTGTTCCCAGACGGCGGCAGGCTCACTGCAACAAATGCCCAGTCAGTACACAAATGAAATGATGAGCATCACAAGACTTGCAGTTGTAAGTTCCTGTGAGCTTGATTGATTCATCCTTATGACACACAGTGAAGACGTGACAGAAAAGCAGGAAACACCATTTAAAACCGTTAAATGCAAACCTTCACATTGGAGTTTTGATGTGCATGCCCTGCTCTCCTGTCAACACATAAATGCAGCATAATGGTTTCAGTTACAAAAATGCATTACTGGATCACCAGCAAAATCAGCAGTAACATTTTGAGGAAATGAAATAACAGACAAAACAAGAAACAAGCCGACGAGCACATATGATTCAGAGAGTGCGTGGTTCACAGTTTCAGAGAGGACACTTCTTTAGTTTTGACCCAGTTGAGTTAATTGATGTTATAAAAGATGCATGCTTACAATGATATGTTAAAAGCTACAGAAGAGATGTAAAGCAGAGTATTCATGTAGGTGAGATGAAAAAACAGCAAAAGCCACAGAAAGTCATCCCTATATTTTTAGGTGTACTAAGGGATATGATGTTGTCAATTTTTAGCTTAGATAGACAAACAGATACCAGAACATTTAAACAATGACTTTTCAAAGAAACAATCACATTATTAAATGTGTGTGTGTCTTACTGGCATCATGACAAAGGCGTAGAGAAATACCCCTTTACCAGCTGACCGGGTTGTTTTCGTGGTTAATCTTGTATATTTTCAGTCTGAACTACAATATGACTATGAAAGTCTCTGACCTCTTACCGATCTCCAATTATGACTCATGAACACTGTTATGAAACCCAGACTTAATATTTCTCACATCCTCCAATATTGAAGAGACCAACACAGCAAAGAAGCTGTGCTGCAATCAATCCATCATGGTGCTGACTAAACCAGCAACATCCACACGAGTGTTTATGATGGGAAACGACAGCAGCGTAACCCGTCACTACACGAAACACCATGTGGCGTGTTAGAGCACTGGAAAATGCCCATGTTGGGAAATTAGTATGTAAAAGCAGGTTGGAGCTTATTATGCTGTCAGGTGACAGTCATGCCATTTGAACACTGGAGACACCAAAATATGGAACAAAGATGGCTGAAAGTGTCTCTGGAACTGGAATGAGCACAGAAGAGGAGCTCAGATGAGTCCGTCATGTGACGTCAAGGTTACCTGTTGTGTCATTTTGGGGCTGGTTGTAAAAAGATTTGCTAAACTTCAATTGATAACAATCTAAACATGACAAACGACATATCTTGACACATTTATTTTGTTTTTTCTAAGAATTTTGAATAAGATACGTACTGAGCATGACATTTTACAGTTGACAAATCAACTTGACGTTGGTGAACAAACTATGTAATGGTGACAGTTTCTAAATCACCTCAAACCTAGTTTGACATTTCTGGACTGTAGCCGACATACACAGATGACAATATATCTGCGATTAACTAATTTTGGCCTGATATATCGGTCTACCTCTAGTTTTGATATAAATTAGCTCTTTAACACCCATTTGATTTGTAAAATAAAGGATTTATTACATTGTTAGACAGCTAGACTTTTAATGTACATAGGACACCATATTTCTCAGATGTTTACTCAGGATCCACACGTTTACTTGTAGTCTCTGAAAGTCCTTTACATGGTTCAGTTTATGGGTTGCTAATGCAGAAAGGCAACCAATTAAAAGGTATTTACACTGAACAATATTATAAACGCAACCCTTTTATTTTTTCCCCCATTCATCAAAAGCTGAACTCAAAGATCTAAGACTTTCTCTATGTACACAAAAGGACTATTTCTCTCAAATATTGTTCACAATTCTGTCAAAAACTGCGTTAGTGAGCACTTCTCCTTTGCCGAGATAATCCATCCACCTCACAGGTGTGGCATATCAAGATGCTGATCAGACAACATAGATATTGCACAGGTGTGCCTTAGGCTGGCCAGAATAAAAGGCCACTCAAAAACGTGCAGTTCCATCACACAGCACAATGCTGCTGACTGCAGGAATGTCTACCAGAGCTGTTGCCCATGAATTGAATGTTTATTTCTCTACCATAAGCCGTCTCCAAAGACGTTTCAGAGAGTTTGGCAATACATCCAACCGGCCTCACAACCACAGACCACGTGTAACCACACCAGCCCAAGACCTCCATATCCAGCACCTTCACCTCTAAGATCGTCTGAGACCAGCCACCCGGACAGCTGCTGCAACAATCGGTTTGCATAACCAAAGAATTTCTGCACAAACTGTCAGGAACTGTCTCAGGGAAGCTCATCTGCATGCTCGTCATCCTCATCGGGGTCTTGACCTGACTGCAATTTCGTTTGGGAACAGTATTTGAGAGAAATAGGCCTTTTGTGTAAATAGAGAAAGTCTTACATCTTTGAGTTCATCTCATGATGAAGGGGGCAAAAACAAAAGTGTTATGTTTATAATTTTGTTCAGTGTAATTTAGAGACAACAGTCACATCTAGGATCACCAAATTTTCCATGTAACAGTTAACTTGATCCAGAAGATACAAATCTTAAGATGAAGAGTCTTTATTTACCCAGAATAATGAATTTCTCCTACTTAAGAGAGTCAATTATTATCCAGCTTTGCGCCGCCGTTTAATTTAGATTTCTGTCTGAAGTTTATTTGTTAGGGTGAAGCCTCAGGCAAAATCTATCTTTGTGCAACCAGCCCCGAGGTTGTGTTATAATTAAACCGTGTGAATATAAATCACGCAAAGACAAAAATGCATTAAAGTGGACTGTTGCACTCTGGCTGGGACTGAAGAAACCTGATCGTAGGTGTGATCTTCCTGCTGCAGGAGGAGGAAGTGTTGTGATAGGACAGCTGTAATCACACTGTCAGGGACTGACAACAACAAGATGATAAACTAACTCTATCTCACTCTCTAACACACCATCAGGCCAGCATTCTTGATAACAAGAGACTTTTCTTGTGTTGAGGACAATGTATGATATTTTGTATGAGTGTGTGTGTGTGTGTTTTTATCTATACTATCCATCCTATCTGACTGCGGACTGAAAGAGAGGCAAAGATTTTCTGTCTGCATCTTACAAAAGACCTGCAGGCCTATTTTGACTGCTACACACACACACACACAGAGGCCTATTTTGATTGCTGTACTTAATGAATGACACACACGCGCTGGTCTGTTTTGACTGGTCTCTTGTTTGTCTGACTTCAAGTGAAAGACAATAAAAGAGACACAAGGCAATCAGTGAAGCTAATCACTGCTATTATAAAAAGGGTTTTACAATATGCTGAGGTTTACGGAAATTTTATTTCAGCCTCTGTAGATTACTTTTTTCCTTCCAAAACACTATCCTTGTAAAAAAAATTACTGTACCTGAAACAAACGCTCAATTTCTAAAGTCTAAAAAAACAAATTAGTAAAATCTTATCATGACAAGAAAACAATGTCATTAAATAGTGGATATATTTGTCAACACTGTGGGGGGATTGACTGTGTTAGTTGTTTTTGTTTTCTTTGTTGAGCCAAATATCTCAGTCTCATGCCACAGTTTTGTTTGTTACCAAGCAACAGGATAGGCAACTTTAGCCGACGGCATCATAGCTAAAAGCATGCGTGCCATGTTCTGTTTTTGTATCTAAATAAACAGCAGAAATAAGAAAATAAAAACAGGATCCAGGCTGTGAGAAGTGACGAATGTCCAACAAACACTTTGGTGGCTCCATCAACACAAGCTCCTTAGAACTTGATTTTACATTTTAATTCTAGACCCAAAAGTTGACAAATATATTATTAAACTGACTTGCTTTTACCTATTACATGTCAACCGACTTTTATCTCTTACGCTTTAACTGACAACTCCTTTCAGTGTTTACTTTTCCACTGATACTTCCATCTCTTTCATTGCTTCATCTTCAACACTCCTTAAAGGGGAAAAGGGCCGGGTGCACACATGAAAGTCTGTTTACAGGTTTTGGGGAGTCCTACTACAGATGTGAAAAAAAATGGTATAAAGCCTTTTGTGGCTCCAGTCGGACTGAGTTAATGCCACGTTTCAGACCGGTTGGAACTGGGAAATTTCCAAGTTGAAATATCCGACTTCCAACCTCAAAGCGTTCCAGGTGCATGGTGGTGCATGACGCCGAAAGTGAACGAAAACCATGGCTGACCATGACAAAGTGTGGACACAGTTGCACCCTCAGCAGTGCTTTAGGTGTTAATTGAAAAGATTGCAGTTTAAATGCAAACAAATGACATAAGTAGCCTATATGTTACTAGTTAACTGTTTACCACTCTAGCTACATCAGTTGGTAACCCTCAAGTCAGTCAATGTTGTAGATTACACATCCTAATGTTTTGGCATTTTTAACAATAACTTTTATGTAGCGAAGATGACTTTATGAGAGTCTTTACTGTAGCCAGCTACCTAATAGGCCTAACATATTTCTACATCAATGTACATGCAGAACAGGTTTTACTATATGATCGTATAAGTATACTTTTTGTTACCCTTTAGTTTATGGTTTACCATTTAAAATGTGTGTTTCCATGGGCGCTGACATTGTTTTATGACATCATTCAGCTGCTACTCGTGAAGTCGGGGTACATATTTTTTTCTCCAAATTCACAAGTAGGAAATCCGACTTCAAGTGGCGTTCCAGGATAGTTTTTCTAGGTCGGAAATTTCCCAGTTCCGAGTTTCCTGGAACGCAGCATAAGGCCTGATAAATGCCTCGAGTGAGGTCACTTGAGTCAGAGCCAGCTGGGGCTGAAGACTACGAGTTTGAAAATGAAAACAAAAATATGGGGTGTGGAGTTTGAAAGAAGAAGTGAGCTTACTATATATCCGTGGCCATCACCATTATCTCTGCTTGAGGCTATCAGCTACATTAGCCACTACTAGCACAACACACCTACATTTTCAAATAAACTGTCATGGACACGTTGCATTGTTGGTAATGTAGGAACCAGGTTAATCCCCTCTTAGTTTCACTGAATGGTTGCTGCATCATTCTCTTTACTGTGATGGCACACACACACACACACACACACACACACACACACACACACACACACACACACACACACACTCCTTGGGCTTGTTTGGCTCAGCCAGAAGTCAATGCCCTTCACTTCCTGTGAATCTGACACCAGGAATCCATGAAAATTGTGAATCTAAGGGAGCAATCCAACATCGGCAGGTCTAGCCTGCTGAGACTCCTAATTCAAATTTATTTACAAAGTGAGGGATGCCAAACACAGAAAAAACAAGAAATGCAAGTGACAATAATAGCAGCATTATGTGTTTGAGTCAAAGAGACCAAATGTCTTTACACCAGAAAGTAAAGATGAAGATAATCACTTATCGAAGGGGATAGTTTAAGATTAGGACTTGGATTATGTGAATGTCACTTGTTGCTGTTAAGATATGGTTTTTGGTCAAGGTTTCACTTATAAAACATAGTCCAGTGAATTCCACACTTTTTTATTCCTATCAAATATTTGTATTTGTAATTTCCTATTAGATCAACGGTGTGTGTGTTTCATCCGGTGGAGTTTGGGTGGGGTTTACACACTCAAAGACTGTAAATGTTACTCAACAGGAAGAGTAGTACTACTATGATGGAATGAAAACATAGGAATCAGCAGAAATGGGTTTGGCAGTCATGTTGATGTGATTTGGATTCTTTGAGGGCCAATGGAATGAAGTGTGCTGGGTATTAGTCAATAAATCTGAATGTGAAAACATGACTGATGTAAAATATATATGCAAAATATGACAGTAGTGGAAAAAACTCTTTCAAGTAAGAGCCAGTGAAAGGGGAGTACAAAAACATCCTGAGCATGTTTTTGTTGTGTTTTTTTACTGTCATTGTTAACATTCAACACCGCCACCCGCCCAAACCCCCAAATCTTTGATAAAGGAAGCTTCAGGGAGCTTGTGCTGGGCTCATATCTGGTTTCATATTTTGTTATACACCCACACATCAGCAGTTAAATTTCACAGTGAAAACAGCCAGAGCTGCTTGTCTTGGCTGACTCAGGCAAGAAACTTAACACACAACACTTGTGTGTTTTTGAATGTAGTATCAGGGTGTGCATCAACGTATTTAGATGCCTGCACTTACTTTTTACCACCTTCTTAAACTGATTTTAGGTGATACTAATGAGTAGTAGGAAAATCACTTCAGGCATGATTAAAATCATCATTATTGTTTTTTTTAAAGCATAATTGATTTTTGAGGATATCAGACGTAATCGACAGGAAGTCTTGTGTTATCACCTAGTCTATAGCGGCAGCAGCAAGACAAATAAGGTAGTTTCTTATTGGTATAGTATATAAACACTGCATTGATGGATAGTGCTAGTATAATTATTGTCTTTATAAGAATGTATCTGAGTTATATTTAAATTAATGTTAAATAATCAATGGCCTGCATGTGAGTTTATTCGCTGCTATATTGGTCACGCCAACACTTGTCAAAGAACTTTGAAATAAGAAACTCTTACATATTCCACCTGCTTGTATAAATCGTCGGTTATGCTCACCGTGCTGCTGGTGCATCCCCGGTCCTCTGCCGTGCGTCTCAGCCATGCGCTCTTGGGCGTGTTTAACCATTTGGCTGGTGTGGCTTGGAGTCTGCGTGCCTATGTCAGCCGTCAATGGCCTCGGGGAGAGCGGGGAGCTCGGCAGCGAGTCGCCTTCGCAGGAGAAATATCCACTGGAGGCACGGCGAGGGAGGTGAAAAATAGACCTGGTCTGAAACACGCCTAGGCTGTCGATAGGGGAGATGGGGGTGGTTCTGTACGGCGAGTCCGGCTCTCCTCCTCCGGGGGGATCGGGGTGGCCGAAGCTGCGCTCGCCGCAGTTGTCTGAACGGGAGGTTTGAGCTGAGGCTCCAGCGGCACCGACGGGTGGTGGATCTCCTCCGCTCCCCTGTGTCGCCGTTACTGCGGTCGAGCCATCGGACCGGTTTGGTGGTCTGTTGGATGAACAGAGCGGACCCGTGAGCCTGGGCTTTCATCACTCTGCCCAAACAGCCTACAGCCTCAGGTCTCTGCAGCATGTGGAGCTGCAGCAGGATATGTAGCAGCACACTGCTCTGCCAGGACTGGACCTCAGGTTTATCCTAGAACTGTGGGATTTCTGTAATTTAAATCTGATTCATTTCACTTAGAACCGCGGGGACATGGCGCGCCGACGAGCACCGACTTTCTTCTTTTTTTTTAAGCGGACGTACCAACAGTAAGGTGATCAATAGCCTAGGTTTGTCTTTCATGAAAAGTTACCTAATTCTAGCTCACGTCCCACTGCAGCTGATATCCACAGAAGCGTTTGGAGTTGTGTAGTGTTTGGCTAGTTTATGTGCACTGAATATGTTCCCGGTCAGGCGGTCGCCCAGGTTTCCTGCCCAAACTGGCCGCCCGGTGCGTCTCCATTGTTTGACAGAAGTTGCTGATTGCAGCAGATCTTTGTTTGACTTGGGGAAAAAAATCAGGGATAAAGGACGCGGCTGGAGTAACTTTAACTGCGTCAGATACAAACAGCCTGAAAGAAATCTGTCTCAACGGACCATGAGTCTGTCTGAAAATGTCACTTTTCGAGTAAATTAACTAAAAAAAATCTGATCAAGATTGACAGACAGTTGACGAGGGACTTACAGAATCAAGGAATAATAACCAGATTTTACATCTGTAAAGTCACTTTAAAAAAACAAAAAACACTGACATAGAAAATTATCACACTTTCGTCATTTTCAGTTTTAATCACCAAAACTCATGGCATTCTAAAAAAAGGGACTCATCAAAATTACATTTTGATGCAACGCTTCCTGTTTGTCCAGACTATACTACAACTTCCTAAGCCCACGGATTCCCAGCGGTAATGACCTACTTCTGTGTCAAAATGACCTAAAAGTTTAACCAACTGGTTTTTATATGAAAGTCTCCATGCACCGACATACACACTATTACGCACCTTTGAAGTAAATAGTCATCCTTTGGATTTTTACGCATTTTACGCACGGAGAAACAACTACAACCGCACTGTAACTGGTCTGTCCTCCAGCCTCTTGAAAATGTAGGTGTCCGTTCCCAGTAGGTTTCCGTGCGGATCCGAGCGTTACGATGAGAGATATTAAGCGTGTCAGGCAGCACGTAGCAAAATGGCACCAAAGAGTAGAGGAGGCCACCTCGCCGAGAGGGAAAAGCAGACGGAGGGAAGAACAGAAAACACGCCACGCCGGTACCAGAAAACTATCAAACAAGGCATTTGATCAGGTGCCACGATACAAAATGTTTAACGAAATCAGCAGCACGTCTGCAACGTCACTGTATTAGTTTTTCAGTAGTTTTGTGACTCCGTGTGCGACGACAGAAAGATCTAGTCTCACCAGAACAAAACTGACATTTCAGAACACAAGATAAGGTTTCACTTTACTATTAACACAAAGATATTAAAATAACTGAGCAGCTGTCACATGTGCCTCTTGGATTGTGCTTTCTATCTTCTTAAAACCCCAGTGCGTGTGCGCCTCCCACAGGATGCGGTGTTTCCTGAACATCTTAAATATTTCATGCCAATTCGTTACATGGCATGGAGTGGTAAATTAGGAGGCGGCAGACCTCAGTGACCTCGATAATAGCAAAGTAGACAATCTCTCATTTATGAACATAAATCAGCTCTTCTCTTAGAAGGAAAACAGAATATGGTCGCATAAGTCTTGGCAGTATTTAGAAATATGTAGGCCTATAGTTATGCCTACATAAAACTGCACACACACTATTCAGCAAATAATATGCAGTTAATCCTCAGCATCCTGAAGACAAAGCGACATACAGCCGTTATCCCGGGTGGAATGTCGTTTACACTTAGTGTAATACACTAATAGTTAATAAAAGCACTAAGCACACCGGCAAGTCAGAGGTTCACTGCAAAACTAACAGATTCCTATTCCTAAAGCCTTCTCGATATAGGCTAACAAAGGAAACCTCCATAAAGTAGGAAATGTCACTTTAAACTAACTGGAGTCAACAAAACTTGGTTTTAGTCACTTTTTACACATGATAAACGCTCTTGGGAAGATTACAATGATATTTCACAATAAGAGAAAGAATTACAATGCAAAAGCAAAGCTATTATTTATTTTCTGTATTTTAAAAACACTGCTATTAAATATTAAGGAGCTATAGCTGCGGCTGTTTGCAGCGTGACAGCTGACATGCCGGTCGGCATAGAGGGAAACTGGAATTTTGTAATGTAGCCTAATTGTTTAAAAAAACACAACACACACACACACACACATCTGCCTCCTCTCTCCCAACTCACCTGGACGGAAGTTGCATGTCAGTCGCAGGACATCACAGCTGGATCCGTGGGAAAAAACACGATAAGAGAAGTTGGTTGTAATATAAATATATCTAAATAGTTTCAATGCAAGACCATGTAGGATCCAGAGGTTCAAAGTGAGAAAAACTTCTAAAAGTAAAAAATAAAAAAAGTCAAGCCAAAAGCGACATTAATCCCAGAGTTGTTGCTGAAGTTTCCCCGGGAGGAATGGTTGAATAATCCGCCTCTTCCGAGTAGAAACTGCACCAGAGGAGGTAAACAAACTCCAGCCAGAAACAGGCTACTGTCTGCACAGAGCTTTCTTTCTCTTCCCTTCCTCTCTGACACTACTCTGCTCTGCCTGCGTTGTGTTATTATATGATCCTCCTCCAAAACACCACCCCCTCTCAGTGGGTGGGATCTATTTCTCTTTCTCCTTTCTCTGTCTCCCCCTGTCTTTCGCAGGCATTTAATACAAAGAAAAAAGAAAACCCAAAGAAAACACGTGACAGAAACACAAATAACGATAACAACTACAAAAACATTTAATAAAAAATGCAATTACTGCCTCTCACGGTGAATGTATCTGCTACTTTCCCTCTGTCTATAGCTGTGTTTCAGTTTCATACTACAACTGCTTCCAGACAGATATTGAGCACTGGAGAAGTGACAGTATAAAGTGTTTGCTACTCGAAATTGTCTCAAAGTGAATAAATGAACTTGATTTTTGAGTGTAATACAGTTTTTGATAAATCCTTTTATCTTGATTCTGTAATGCTCAGAGGGTTTAATGACGCAGGCCAAGACCTATGGTCACCTACAGTCATGACCTCTGGTAGCAACGTAAAAGTTGACCCATGTCTTGTTATTTCCTGTTGGGACAAAATTGATAAGTGCATTAATTTGCACTAAAAAGATTAGACAAATCCACCAATAATAGTATTAAATGTGTTTAAAATGACAAACTGATTTGTCAAAATCACACAAAACCCAACAAAACTAACTCCATCATAAAATTAAATACTAACATGTAAATTCCCTTTTTTACCAGTGTTCCTCCTTTTGCATAATCTAAGAAAACTGAATGTGTTTTTAAATTCGACACATTCACAATTTGGACGAAACTGACGCCTACACTTGTAGTATGACTGCTGGCATGAAAGCAGAACCCAGTATAAGCTACTATTGAAGTTATGAATCATCCTAAGGGCTTTACTGATGCCATATTTATGTTTCTGTTGACAGATTCGCGTTTCAGAAAAATGGAGGACATTCAGTGAACAATATATTTCCACTTTGGATTGTGCTCTGGTTAAAAACACTGATCTCACTTCTTAGTTTTGCACTGCGTGTGAGGTATGTAGTCCCTATATGTGTGTGTGTGTGTGTGTGTTATTATGAACTATTATCCACATTTACTATTGGCTGGCAAGTGTCCGTTATAATCATATGACTGGACACTTTGTTCTGGTTAAAACTTTAACTTGAACTTACGCTGCTGAGCGGCCAGTGAAGCACAGAGTGAATGCTACACAGGTCAGTCCATTCTTGTGTTTTCTTGTGACAAGTGAACAAAGAAATCATTGCCCCTGTTGTCAAATTCTTACAATTCAAATAAACAAACAAATAATAAATAGGTCTTATACCTAAATTAACTGAAACAAACATCAAGCACCGACTTGCCACAAGTCAGTTCTCAGTCATCAGTTCTCAGCAGAGAGTTGCATAATTTCTTTGGTGTCACAATCGATTGCATTATGTTAAATATATATATTACAGCCTGTAAGTGGCTAGTATAGTCTCAGGGCTTGGTGTAAATTAATATTCTCAGACATAACAACAAATCATCTCTCAAGTTCTACTTCCTTCCTTGACAATATAATGTAAGAACTGACTATACATTTGTATAGGAATTGTTTTTCTGCTTAATCAAAGGCAAGTTTTGTTAATGAAACAATATTCCACTTATAAGATGTATTCAAACCAGTCTGACATCTTGCAGGTAGCGCTGGCTCTGTAATGTTGAGGCGAGGCCGGGTGGGTGTGGCCGGGCAGAGAGACTGGAAACAGCAGGAAGATCCGACCTACACCCCCACACACATATGCACAAAAGCACACACACACACACACACATTGATAGACAGACAGACAAAAGGGTGAGACAATCAATATCATTTACATGTGATCAATACCAATCAATCCCTGAGTGTGGGAAAATGTGTGTGAATGGCTGTAAATATGGATACTATTTACTTGTGTTTTCTATTGCTGCTTCTGTTTTTCTGTTTGTATATTTTCCTTTCTGTACATCAGGGAGTTTGGAGCTCTGTTTAGTGTGATGATGATAGTGTTGATGATACTGACCGTCCAGAGAAGAAGATTTCTCTGGACGGTCAATGTAGTGGGCCGAACATGAGTACAAAGTGAGTAATACTAGTGAGTACTTATAGCTACAGTAAGGCTTTAATAAGGATTACTAACGGCAGGATGCATTAATTGCTTCACTTCCCCACAAAATACAGTGGGAAATATCTAAACCTTCTTTCTGGTCATAATCCATCCATCCATCCATCCACCGTCCACCGCTTATCCTGCATACAGGGTTGCGGGGGCTGGAGCCAATCCCAGCAGACATCGGGCGCAAGGCGGGGTACACCCTGGACAGGTCGCCAGTACTGGTCATAATAGATGTTGAAAAGAAGGTCATCCATCCATCCATCCATCCATCCATCCATCCATCGTCAACCGCTTATCCTGCATACAGGGTCGCGGGGGGGCTGGAGCCAATCCCAGCAGACATCGGGCGAAAGGCGGGGTACACCTTGGACAGGTCGCCAGTACTGGTCATAATAGATGTTGAAAAGAAGGTCATCCATCCATCCATCCATCCATCCATCGTCAACCGCTTATCCTGCATACAGGGTCGCGGGGGGGCTGGAGCCAATCCCAGCAGACATCGGGTGCAAGGCGGGGTACACCTTGGACAGGTCGCCAGTACTGGTCATAATAGATGTTGAAAAGAAGGTCAATTGGAAATAAATTATATGACACATATCAAACTTAGAGCGTTAATTTTTTAACCAGCATGGCTCTAAGGATGCCAGTGTTGGTGGGTCCACCACTTTGTGCGAAATATCTCAACAACTATTGGATGAATTGCCATGAAATCCACAGTGTCCAGACAATGTATGCTCATAACTTTGGTGACTTCCTGACTTTTCATCTAGCTGACATTTGTGGTTTTCAATTTGTGACATTCCCCTCTGCCTCACCTGTACGTCGTGTTGAGGGCTTATTGACAAATGTCAGCATGCTGACAAGCTAAAGTAACATGGTGAACATTACACTTGATTGTCATCAGCATGTTAGCATTGTCATAGCATGATAGCATTTAGCTCAAAGCACCAAACAAGCTGTTAGCATGGCTGTAATCTCTTGTCTTATGGTCTTTTTAATTGACAAACCATGATACAATGTTAAATGTATCCTTACATAGATGCAGTAAAAGCACCCAACTTGCAGTGGCAAAAAAACAGTTGACAATAATTAATTATTAAGGAATGTGTTCCTTTGATTTCTGTATAGACAGTGTTGTCTGCACCAGCTGGATTGAAATGCTTTTTTAATGCCAGTCCCTGGGGCGCAGGACTGTAGGGGCAAATGTGACTGAATATGGAGGGCCCTAATGTGAGAAGGCCCCAGAATATGCATGAATCACGACATTGAGTCGTGGCTGTCGTCACGTTATCACTCCTTTTGAGTACCACTTCTACTGAGTATACAGAAAGGGGCGAGATAAGAAAGACAGGGGTTTTTGGCATGGATGATTTGGCATTTAAATGTTTCCCACTGACGTTTATAGTTACCTGTGCTTTACGCTGCAAATTTGCGTAAAACAGTCAAATCATTGTTGGAGCCCCACACCGCTGGAACATTGAAACCTGATGAAGTTTTATGGCATAGCCCTGAGGGAATTTAAGGGTAATTTCAGTTTACTCACTGCAGTAGACAGCATTAAACACAATTGAGTATAAAGAGCTGTAAATTAGACGGTGGTGCTGACCTCAAAAATCTTGCGTGAGTCAACAAACAAACAGATGGCTATACAGTAGGTCAACTGTCATGACAACTAGATACATTCAGGCAAGAGCTGACAAATACTTCCCAGTTTGTACATAAAATCTATCAGAGTTTTTATGGACATAGTGGAAGTCCCCTCCCCTAAACATTAGTTCCTTATTGAGAAACAGCTACAACCAGGGTGGTTGCTGGTCACGTTGGTAATAAACAAAATGAAGCTTATTTTACGGTTGCAATATGTAAAATATAAATGTAAATCTCTCATCAGTATCGCTGCACATCGTTTTCCTCAGGAAAGGCTTCATTACAGCATATTGACCCAGTTGTGAAAGTCAGTGAAGCGTTCAAAATGGGTGAGTCAGGCCGCTGAACACACTGTTTACAGAGAGACAACTGAGTGTGAAACAACTTGTTCATAATGGTGGACACATTTTACATATAATGAGAGGGGACTACATTTAAAATAAGTAAAACCTTTGTTTTCACTCTTGGAAACTCTAGCGCTTTGTTTAAATTAATGTCCACCTGAAGTCACCAGAAAAGTCAAAAAATTGGCAAGATTATGTAATAATAAAATGCTCAGAAAGAGACTAAGCTACAAATTTTTATGTGAAAAGGAAAAAAGAAATTACACACAAGCAATGCAAATTTGATTGTTTTGGTGATTAAGACATTAGCCCTGCATCAATGTCTCTACAGGCTAAATGCTCAAGTTTTTGACCTTATTTAAAACATGTCCACCAATCAGTTACAGTACTTTACAGTTACAGTACTTTGCACCACAGTGTCAAAAAGTTCCCCAGACTCAGAGAGGCGAAGGAAAGCAAAGTAATCAAATCAAATGAAAAACCTCAACTGCTGAGTTAACCTCAACTGTTCACTCATATAAGCCAGTTTGAGGTGCTCTTTACTGACACCTACTGGTTTACTTATTACTAATAAATGCAACGGATTAAAAATGCAACGTCAGTAACCACAGACATGACAACACATCCAACTCCACGACAACTGAGCAAAACCCATTTGCTGATGAAGACCATGAGATCTACAGAAAAGGCTAGATCATGAGCCTTGACCTTGAGATAAGATCATCAGATTTGTCAAGCAACATAAATATAACAGTTGAAATGAAAGACAAAAAGTGTGGTTTCAACAGACTACTGGTCATTGAGTGCTAATGGAAAGCCCATCGGTTCCCATGCAGTGAAACATGACCCCTCCTCCACTAGTCCCCCAACAACACAATACTGACCACCTGGACTAGTAGAGAGTAAGCGTGTGAGTGAGTGTGTGTGTACATAGTATTGACTGGTTGTAATGTGAGAGGTCAGGACACAATAGCACTGTCACTCTGAAGACCTAACATCATGCTGTGAGAGGTCACAGCTATGTGCCACACAGAAACAAACACACACAGATGCTTCTACTTGTCCATCTTAATGTCAGTCAACCTGCACTGCAGCTGATCTCTTCACATTATTTTTATTTTATTTTATTAAACCTTTATTAAACCAGGCAGGACACTTAAGAACAACTTCTTATTAACAAGGATGGCCTGGAAAGAGGGGATTACCCTCTTGAGAGGGGAGAGTGGATACACATGACTCATAAACATAAATATTTTGGGTTCTGATATGTACGCCCATTGCTCCCATCTGTCATGGTTGTACTGATAAGTGGGTGATTCTGAACAAATACTCAATTATTTGGTTTCCCGCAGACTTTCATAAAGGCTGCAATTGATCGAAGCAAAGACATCACATGCCTGAATGCAAAACATCATTATAATGAAGAAAAACAAGTACTGAAGTATTAACTCCTTATCAATGTCTTAATGTTATTACTTTAATTTGAACAAAGAGAACCCACCAATATTTTTCACAATGGGGTCCTTCCTGAAAACAAACTGTTCATGTGGATCTATGGTAGCAGTACCAGAACTGTGGGGTTACCACTTAAGTCAAATCTGTGTTTAAAAAAAGTAATCTCATAAATGTTGAGAGTCGTAAATTACAGAAATGTTTAACAGATTTCAAAAGTATGTTTGTCCCTATTCCCCCAATGTTTTCTGAGCTGTGTTTAAAAGGACATTGTAACTGTAAAACTGAAGTGATTATCAACATCTTCTTCCAGCAACAGGAAACTTTCAGATGTGTATGAAAAAAAAAAAAATTTAAACCCAAAAGAGATGAGCTTTATTAATGGGCTAAACATGTAAAAACAACAGTATGGACATTTAAAGTGTTAGTGTTGCATTACTCCTTGAGAAGCACTGGTGTGGACAGACATAGTCCGTGTCCTCTTTATGACTGAGCATGTCAACATCAACACAGATCTTCTGTGTCACTTATTGACAGTTGCAATGCATTGCTACATGACGGTGTTCCTTAATCCACTAGAAGTTTGATAGCCTGACAAATTTCTGACTCATCCATGTCTGTGCAGTGGGCTTGTTGCAAATGAGTAAACAAAACAATGTAGTGGCTTATTTGAATGCATGGCGCAATGTCTGCTGCAACAAATCTAAACTAAAAGCCAAACTAATCTTGTCCTTTTTTTCTCTATCGCTGCATCTCGTCTCTCGATCTTTATCTTACAACTCTGGAACGCGATTTATTCATATCCATTTGATACTCTACTGTGAAACAGGATAAGGTGCGCTGACTGAAAAACACTGCTGCTTGCGTGTGTGTTTTGGTTTGTGTGTGTGTACTCTGCTTGTTGAGTTGGTAGTACAGTTGTTCTCACTTTAGTGTGATTAAACAGTAGTGACTGACACACACCTTATGTCATGCAGTGGGTCAATTAAATACTGTAGTCACTGTAGTGTTGGGTGTTAGGAGTCCATGCAGCGCACCGTTTATCCTTCAGGTCCCGACCCTGACACACCAAACAGACCCCAACGACTAGTGCTAACACAGACCAATAGAAATGCTGCCTCACATCGTCTGCAGGCATGTCTGTTCTGGTACTGCGTGAGAGGAAATAACTAGTCTGGAGTCTAATAACTGTTCCTATTTAAAAACAAAACACAGGACGACAAACAAAACTATCCAACTAAATATGTCACTGTGAAACTGATTTAACCATCTCGTCATGTGCTCGGAATAATAATTGAAAATGTTTGAAAAGTTGCAGCAAATTTAAGCTTTGCTTTCCTTTGGAACGGTGTTGTCTTTGATTGTGGAAAAAGAAGAAAAAACACAAAAGAGTAAATGGGTGAAGTCACTGATTCACCCGGCTGAACTGTCAGTCAGTTTGCGCTCAATGACTGCTGATGCTTATTCCTGAATCCTATATCCTGAATTGGCCAAACAGACGCTGATAATGGGTGACACACATAACAGTCAGTAGTTGTCCACTTGGTATGCCAGGGTCATTATAATCCTATTTTGGCAGCTGGCCTTTTACTGAAAGATTTAATTTTGCTTTTAATGGGTCCAAAAGACTGCTAGCCAAGATGTTTAATACATTCTCACAACTGTGGATTGCATGGCAAACATTCAATAACCAGATACTCTAATCAGTATCAGTATCAGTATAAGTTCAAGAACTTTGCCATCATTGTGCACAATTGCACCAACCTCAAATGGCATTGTGTTTAAGACTTCTTGGTCACATATGATTGTGCTGTTGTGTTGGCATGAAGTAATTTCTTAGCTTTACTGACCCCAACTGGCACCCAACAGGAACTGCAACAATCCATATTTTTAGATGTTAAAGTCTAAAAATCAATGTAGGAATAACGGATTTATGTTTAAGGACCACAACAGTGGTTCTACCTGCATTTTACCTTATTGACAACCATTTTCCACACATGCTGCAATTGTTCAGATTTTTAGATTGATTTCCAACATTTCAGGCAGGTCATGGTTTCACTTCACGTCAGCATACGATGTAAAAAGTGCTAAGACTTGAAACTCACTTAAGACAGATAAAACCTCTGAGTCAACATATAACCTTGTCTAATCTTGTTAGCAAAACTTTATCCTGAATTTGAACTTCTAACATATTTTACAATACTCCCATGTTTCTCCTGCTAACTGTACATGTAAAACATATT